GTAACAAAAACACAGAAATTTTACTCAAAAAAATTCTGAGCTAATAATGACAAGTGCAAAACCTCATAAGTATTTCTTGCTACACAGCGTTTATGACACCATTCGTTTAATCATTAGCCTTTAATCAATCATTATCCTTTAAAGTACATGGTAGCTCTCTATTTAAATTTAAACCTAATACAGCCAATTGTCGAAACTAAGGGGTAAGTATTCAAAATAGGTAAAATATATTTTTTTGACATAAATTTTAGTATCAGTGAGTGGGCAAATCTCTTTAAAAATATCTTTATTCTTCTTTGAAATCTCTTATTCTCTCCTATTCTTAAGGTTTTTAGATTACTAGGTTGTGGGGTTGAGGGGGTTAATGGGGGTAAGTATTCAAAATAGGTAAAATAAAGGTTTTTAACATTAATTTTATTTATTACAAAGTGGAAATAGATCTATAAAATTATCCTACTCTGCTGTCCACCACACCCTTTGAGTACAGGAGAGTAAATAAAATATAAGACATCAAACATATATGAAAACTTATGTGTAACCAAATCAAATATTGAATTTATGTTGATTCGGCTGATGGTATTTTTGTTGTACATAGAAAGGGAGGAGGCGGTTGTTTTCTTGTACCTACTGTTGATGGGGGTGAAATGGAACGGTGGGGTTGGGTTCTCTGTTGTATTGGGGAAAAACGGAGATGTTACTAAGTGACCCCCCCCCCAAGGGGTCAAATGCATACAACAAAATATATTAATTTTTTTTTTCTGTATAGAACTTGGAGCTTTAAGCAACAAACTATTACTATAGTATACATATACAACTAGATATAACTAGATATTATAACTATATAACTTTACTAGACTAGTATACTATATAACTAGAAATTTATGGCTATGAAAACTTTTACTGTTTGTGTATTTTTAATAAGTTCATAATAAGTTAAATAATAACAATAAGTTCAGTTCTCATCTTACCCCAGCTGACGGTATCATAATGTGAATTAAGAAGATGAAGATATTCATGTGACGTATCGTTTTATGGGTTTTGGAAGTAGGAGAATTCAAATATCGTATTATTGTCTCTACTGTAATTTTTCATAAACTAAGTCATACGAGTCATAAAGGTCATTTAGGTCATTGATTTGGTGATTTAGGTCATATGGCCCATAATGGTCATACTAGCCATATAGGTCAAAACAGTCCATATTATGCAGGCCGTATTGACCATTAAGGTCATAAGGGCCATACAAGCCATAAAAGTTATATCCAAATACATAATAATATCAAACTTTTAAGAACATACCTGATGGTTTTAGCGGTTTAGTCTAATTAAACGTGGAGAATTGGATGTGGAAGTACTGATTCCATTGCCAGCGGTGTTTTATGTTAATTGTATGCAACCATAAAATCGGTTTCTAATTATAAAATATATTACCAGATTTGCAGGGAAAAGTAAATAAAACTTGGGTTGTCGACATCAAGAGAGATAATAACTTGAAGCTACAGCTGTACTGAAAGAAAATTAAATTTATTTCTTCATGTTATTCAACATGTAGTATTCAAAACCGATCTCGGGCCTTTCAAAGTTCTACGCCATTTTTAGTAATGCGAGATATTATTCTCAAAACTGTAAGCTTCTTGGGTTATCTCCTTTTTTTAATTGTCTTCAAACAACTATATTTAAACATTGACAACATATTGGTAGTTTTTAAATGTACATATTTGGAAAAATGCTGCTTACTGCAAGAGAAAAAGGTGTTTCGCAAGGTTCTAATAGCTACTCGAGGTATTTGCTTCCTTATGTAGGAGTGTCAATTTATACCGATGATTGTGCATTTACCTGCAAAAGTTATGTGGATTTTATTATTAGGTACGTATATTATTACACTTTTTTACAACTCGACTAAGGTGAAGCACATTTCATTATTTGGAATAAATATTATCGGTTTTCTAACAAAAATAGAACCAGTAGTACCATACTTGACAACTTATTATTATTAAATGAGAAAACAGAGAATTAGTATATACGAGTATCAGAGTAATTAATTGGCATGTGAGTGTGCCATTATTATGTATTTGTCGTTGACACGTTGCAAACTCGCTTGATACGCGATGTCATTTTACACATCCACCCACACCGTCGCACGCCCTTTGCTCCAAAATCACTTCGTCGTACGTGGTGATTTTTTAAATACACATAACGAACGCGAGAACATTATACGAATGGGCGAGCAGTTTTTTCAAAAAAAATAAGTTTCAGCTTCTGCTCGCAGTCGGATCACGATTCGAATGAAAGTCGATTGGCGCAGCGTTTTTGCAGATGCTAAAACTGTGAAGAATACCCTGACAGTTTCAAAATTTTAATCCCGTAAATTCAGATGATATAGCTTGTAAGATATATACCGAAGATGAAAAAGTTACAATCACCCGAATAACTAAAAACACGTGAGTTAATTCCTCGATGTTCGTAGAACGTACGCTCAGGCGCTCGAGCGTAGAGTAAACTTGCATCGAAGAAAATTGATGCTGAGTTACAGAATGAGTCGGGGAGTCAAATTTTTTCGCGGATTCTTATAATTCAAGGTATGAGGAACATTTTGCGTTTAGATTCGAAAGAATCGAAACATGAGAACATTATTAAAAATTCAATTGTTTATTTAATTGTTATAAATAAATAGGTAAATAAATAAATTTACGAATATTGTTTATTTCATTTGAAAATATATACTTCTGAAAATCTCTCATTAAATTTTCATAACATTTCGTTGAAAGGAGTCTGAGTAATTAATTTTTTCATTAAAAGTAATTAAAATGTTTAAACATCCGTATAAAAATAACAATTGAATTTTTGCAAAATCCTTTGGGGCTAATTTTCAGTATTGTTATAGGCATTCATTTGATATATGTTTTATAAAAATCAACGACCTAGTGGTACTTGGGGGTGCTCACTTGACGTGTTTTGTCTCTTCTACAAGTCTGCATAGTCTTAGTACACATGCTCCGCTTTGTACGGGATGACTTATTGGTGCAAGCATCTTCATCGAAATTCAGTCAATTCTCAAGCAGCTTGTACAATTAAAATCCTTTCCCAAAATTCTCATTCAGACGCTCAAGTATGCTTGAACAAGCGTCTGTTTGTTTGGAATGTGTCAACATCGGACGATGATTGATTTGGTTTGGCTGCATTCGTCCTTCTGCTCATAATATTCTATTTGTATCTATATTGTGAGCAAAATTATTAATAAGAGTAAAATTACAATAACACAGCACTTAAAAAAAGAGTGTGGGTCGTGGAATATGAAGTCAGATATCCCAGGTTTACGAAACGCCTATAGACAGAACGCCCATTAGCCTCTAGACATTTTCAACCTATCAAGTCAATTAGTAGTTGAGAAATGATTTTAAAAAAATATGAGGGTTTAAGAATAGATCCTACTAGTATCCCACAGTCCCACAGTATCTTGACCTGTTGAATTCGAATCTCGAGTCATATTCACGGATTGATACTTATTTTAACACGAATTTAATTGATGGGGCCTTTTATGGGAGATTAGGTTTTTATTATTATGAAGTTATAGTGCATGAAGTCATGATAATTGACTTTAAACATCTTGTCTACAGAAGGTTTTTCAGGGTTAAGGTCAAAATAAAAATCAATCGGGAAATTCTGGCTATAGTTTTCGTGTTAGCGTGTTAAAATAACAAGCCATAAAAAAACGTCATCAAAGTTGGCCGAGCAAAAAACTCTTAAAATAACCTTATTTATTTCTCAAGACTGTTACATTACATTATGTACTAGCTATTATTTATTTTACCATTGTGTCAGCCACTTGTCAAAAGTTTGTGTAAAAAAAAAAACAAAAAAGCCACTGTTTCCATCTCTCTCGTTCACAGCCAGATTTGATGACGTTTTTTTTGGGATGGCTTTTTACTACGAGAAATACTCTCCTGGAGTGGGTACTGGAACCTTCGGTGTAGAAACAAAAAACTGGACGTTTTCCACGAAACACCGAACTACTACACTTTTCTCGACGCGCGTTTCGCCAACCAAGTTGGCATCTTCAGGAGGAGATTAAAACGAAAAATACTACTACTGGTTCACGGCCCACACTACTCTTCTCTCGTGGTATACAGTTGTACTGTATAATTGATATGTTTTTAATAATATGTGGTACGCTGCGTCGCCAGACAATTTCCCTAGAATAGTCCCCTGAGAGTGGCAGAATGTTGCGTTCTTCCCATGATGTAATCACTAGGGTTCGGAAGGTTTGCTCTCACGCATGGTACATTGTATTTAACTATCCAGCGCTGCGCACGGGCCCGGCGCACTACCGCGCATACGCGAGTCCCGGCGCATTGGCAGGATCCGTCAGTGACGTACGTATGCAGGGGCAAGAAATACACGCGTATATAATTTACAAGACGCTTAAAAAATATAGTTTATAGTTTAATTATTATAGAGTTCTATAGAGACGACCCTACATTATGGCACACATCCTAGTAATCACAAATTTGTGTTATACTCATATAGTTCAAATGTGAGCACTGTATGCAGCTTAATTGGGTTTTCAGCACATTGCATAAATTACCACGTGGTTTTGCCTCTAGTTGGAATAAAATCTTTAAGTAACTGAGGATTGACCTTTTACAGATAGCTGGACAAAACATTTCAGATAGCTGGACAACAACATAAATGTTGTTAAGACCAGCAGAGTTCACTCACAGCTGACGTTCGCTTGACAAGCTTCTTTCCATTTGCTTCAGTTCGCTTTGACAGCCTTCTTGATACACACATTTCGTTTCGTTTGGGCAAGCATGATTTGTAGAAGTATGCATAGTCATAATTCAGTCAATCTCGCCGCTTGTGTAATTAAAATTATAATAATAATAATAAATCACACCACATAATTGACATTCTCCATCTAGAAATCATTACGATTGTGCAGACGGAGAGTACGCATGGAAAAATACGTAAGACATATAACCAAACCCTGTGACAGGTGCTAATGGCCACAGGCGGGATTCGAACCCGCTGATAATAGCTCTCGAAGTAATCGCCATCTTCCACTAAGCTATCCGCGCGACTATGATGGCGCACAATATTCATACAGATGCTCAAGTATACTTGTACAAAAAGGTCGACCATGCGTACTTGTCAAGCTTGCAGTTGCGTTTGTAGCCGCCTTAAGCAAGATATCGAGTTTCATACAAAGACCGATGAGCGCGCTATCGAAAATAATAACGCCGCTTTTCATGGTGCCTCGCCTGGCTCTATTAACTTTAATCACAACACGCGCAAATGACCAACTTCGCGCTGGATCTATTTCTCACTCTCTCTCTTTGAAGAGAGACGAATGGAGGATCTCGAATACAGTCACCCGGGCGGAAGCGTGGGCCGCAATTGAAGCGTCGCAGGTTCATTGTTATTTAACACTTCCGGTGTACGCCCTCGGAGCTAACCCATTCCGAGTGTGTGTACGCGATGGTTATCTGTCACGCAAAGAGGGACACTCCGTGTAATACACAGTGAATCAGTAAATAGATAATATGCGGTCTCGATAAAGGAAGAGGATTTATCACTTAATGAGGATCTTGCGGCGCGACGCTGAATTAAAAAAGAAACGCAAAACATGAATTGTAAAGGTAAACTTCTCGCAAAAATTAAAGGAACAAAAAAATTTCGAAATTTTTTGGCAATTTTCAACAGGCTGTATTTCAGTGAAAAATGGCCGAACAGGAAATAAAAAAACATAGCTTTTAAAGCTTGAAGACTCTAGTTTTCGAATTTTTTGGTTAAAAATTTTTTGGAGCACCGGTAGCCATGCAATTCTTGGATAAAGCACGAAGAAAAAATTTTCTAAATTCTCAACTGCCAATATCTCTGAAACTACTGGTCGCCAAGCGAGCGGACAGGGGGTTTCATTTTCTGCAGAAAATTTCCTACAAAAATCTGTCATGGTTGATTGGAAAACATTTTTTTCCACCTGTAACGTTAACGTGAAAAAAGAGCAAAAAAAATGCCATTTTCCCTTTTTTGGTTAATCGACTGTATCTTCGACAATATTGGGGGAAATGCTTAGGTTAGAAGAACATTTTACTGTTTAATGTACCCCAAAGGCCCTAAGCCCTAAATAGGTAGATCGATCGGTTCAGCGGTTTCCCTGGATCGATTGATTGAAATTTTGAAAAAATTAAGGGAACAAGATTTTTGTTCCTTAAACTTGACCTAATCGTTTCAAAAAATCAATCATTTCGTTTTTTTTTTTACTTTTTTCTCAATTTTGAGTTTTCTGAAGATTGATTAACAAAAAAAATCCAAAATTTTTTTTTCAAAAATTTCGAAAATTTCCAAAAAATTTTTTTTTTAGATTTAAAAAAAAACCAAGAGGTCATTTCTGACTCACCTCGCTGAAACTATGGACACATTCAAACCTTTATTTTTCTTAAAAAAAAATTTATTTAATAAAATTAAAGTTGATACCCGTAAGGTGCCCACGGTACTCGTTGTGCGAAATTCTGAGCGATAATTTTTTTACGTTTTCTGTATTTTTACATTTTTGGAAATTTTCGAAATTTTTGAAAAAATTTTTGGATTTTTTGTTTAAAAAACCTCAGAAAAAACAAAAAAGGGGAAAAGGAAAAAAAAAAAAAAAAAAAATTATTGATTTTTGAAAAGATTAGGTCAAGTTTAAGGAACAAAAATCTTGTTCCCTTAATTTTTTCAAAATTTCAATCAATCGGTCCAGGGAAACCGCTGAACCGATAGATCTACTTTGGGGGGGCCTTTGGGGTACATTAGACAGTAAAATTTTCTTCTAACCTAAGCATTTCCCCCAATATTGTCGAAGATACAGTCGATTAACCAAAAAATGGAAAATGGCATTTTTTTGCTCTTTTTTCACGTTAACGTTACAGGTGGAAATTTTTTTTCCAATCAACCATGACAGATTTGTGTAGGAAATTTTCTGCAGAAAACGAAAACCCCTGTCCGCTCGCTGGGCGACCAGTAGTTTCAGAGATATCGGCAGTTGAGTGAAAAAAGGATCCTTTTTGCATTCAAAATTCGATATCTCGAAGACAAATGGTCGTATCTGACTCCCGAAAAAAAGCAAATTGAAGCTGAATAAACAGGCTATGCGACCTATGCATTGGTCTAGCTCGAACAAATTTTTCCATGCCTGTAGAGCGAAAAAAAATATAAAAAATCTAGAAAATTTTTTCTTCATGCTTTATCCAAGAATTGCATGGCTACCGGTGCTCCAAAAAATTTTTATTAACCAAAAAGTTCGAAAACTAGAGTCTTCAAGCTTTAAAAGCTATGTTTTTTTATTTCCTGTACGGCCATTTTTCACTGAAATACAGCCTGTTTAAAATTGCCAAAAATTTCGAAAATTTTTTTGTACCTTTAATTTTTTGCGAGAAGAGTATTATATACAGGAATGGTGTTACAAAAGTGTCACAATCCTTGAGGATGCATAGCTATGGATGCATATGGCCAAAGGATAGGATGCATATGGCCAAAATATGTAGAAGTCTTAATGAACATGGGTCCGCGAATGGACGGTTTCCGGGAGATACGAGACCTTTTGATTTTACACCATTATATGCAATCATTCAATGAACAAATGACATAGGCCTCATCAGTAAACAGAGTGTTGCCAGCAAAATTGGGCTCCTCTGTATGATTGCGTTGCAACCAACACCAAAATAACATACATTATGATCAGGTGGATTTGGGGCCTGTACTCTTTGAACATGTCGTACGAGCTCGTGGATGATTCTCCAAATAAGAGGAGCATTAATTTATATTCGCTATTCCTTGTTATTTTCAGCATACTAGTCTCCGCATTCTGATCTACCCGCGCTGAAATTGCTTTCTCTGACTCAGGGTAGACCTTGATCTTCTGGAATCATGAGACTGTTTCCCAAATGAACCGGTAACATGCAGTCGTTGGTGCAGTCTTACAGACTGGATCTAGCGATTAGGATGCGCTTCAGCATACAGGCGTTGCGCTTCTCTGGCGTTCCCTTTAGCATGACCATAAGTACATGAAATGCATGTAGGTTAAGTCAATGTTAGAATGAATAGGCACGGCGAAAATTCGTAAAATTGTGTACCAACTACTGAATATCAACTACTATATGTTACCTCTGCCGACTACGATAAGAAACTGATTTTTTACGAACGACATAAAATACTCTTTTGAGCAAGTAACTCGATTAGAAACAGACAGCATACTATCTACCCTTAAGTTTCTGACACTTTTTTACACCCTATATAGTTTGGCTACACGTCCGCTATCACTTAGAGATTTCAAAATCTTAAGATGCAAATGGACTAGAGCATTTAATTGTAACAGAACAGAGAACATGAAATAGCATTATCATCGAGTAAGGTCGATGTTTTGCTACGAGTAAAGTAAGACAGGTTTTAAACATTTGTTTATACTATGTATAACATTCTAGATCAACACAAAGTACAGGATCATTACGTGAAATAAATGTACTACCAATGTTTGTTTTATTTCGTTACATGTCATAATCTAATAAGTATTTTTCATAAGTGTTAGTTAGCGAATATTTGGTTATAATATACATATAATTCGCTAGACTGGACAGTATAATACAAATGAATGATCCCCGGGTTTGCTGTGTTCAGTTGTTTGTAGGTTGGCATTGTCAGTATAGGTAGTAGATCATAGCGATGAAGGCTAATAAGGTCGAAATCCTGATACATATGTATGATGACGTATAACAGTGAACGGGAATGTATTCTCATTACACTTGAGTTTAACGGACCTACCGTTAATGGTGTGCTACCAGAAACGACATCTAACGGTTGGTGTCTTTGTCAGACCCGCCAAAACACGTCGAGTCCTATTTATGCTCACCAGAGGGCAACCCTCTATATCACCGCTATACGTTACATATTTATTAACCATATATTCCTTAAATTTCTTTAACATTTGTAGAGTGTAGCAATTGTAGAATTAGCAGTTCTTATATATAAATTAAAGCATATTTTTGTGTTTCATTTTACGTTATAGAGCGCTTCGATTTTACTTAAATTATTCAATTCAATTTTGCCTAAATTCTCTTAAACATATCATAGAAAAATATCTATATATAATTTTTCTTTGTTTCACCCAATAAAATAGTGCATTAGAGTTAAATATAAAGGCCACATGTAATAGTTATCATTTGGTAAATCTTATTGTTCTTAGGCGGCGGACCAAAAACTTAACTACAGCCACTTCGGACAGCTACATATAACGTTGATCAATGGTTTTGGTACCTATATTAAACGTTGTTTCAGGTAAGGTAATTCAGAAAACAAAAACAAACGCGTTACTTCGTATATGAAGAAATTATTGGGCAAACAAAAAGACTAATTATTATTAGACTTAAAGGACAAAATGGATAACTAAAACACGAAAGGGCAGATAAATATTGAATTTTCAATATTATTTTGAATAATGTAGTAACTATATAGTAAAAATAATGTAGTTGAACGATGATATAAAATATAAACCCGAGCTTTACTTCGCTCTTATAAAGTAGGCATCATCATTATTATGTATGAAATCAACCGACCATAATTCATTTTTACCGAAAGATAGCCAGCGAATGCCTCATCTGATTTTTATCTAGTTGGCGTACGCTAGAAAGCAGATTACTACGTGTATAAAAAAGACCAACTCGTAAAATTTAAATGACCGGCCCCCTTCTTATAAGGTAAGGCCTTTCCGCTCTTACGCCAGCAACATTAAGGATGATCTATATGGTATAAGGACCGTGTGGAGTTGCAAAACACTGAAGAGGCAGCCGAGATAGCTGAAATAGATATTATAAGTGGGGCACGGACTTATGTAAATAAGATAAGCAGGCCGTGCATCTTTTCTGCAATAAACAACGCAGTGACGTGCGCACTAGTTTCTATTAGGAGGTAATTAAATTGAACAATTGGTTTTTAAATTTTTTAATTTTAGAATTTTGAACTCCAGTTTTGAACGGGCGCCCTTTATGAGAGCGCGATGTTGCCAAATGTACGACAGTACAAGTACCTCAAAAAGATAATAATT